AATCTACACAAGTGGTCGACATTGTTGCTTTAATCTTTTGGCGGTGCGTTATGTGTTAATTACCTTGTACTCCTGTCCTGGTGTTTTATATGCATTACCAGCCAAAAGTAACAATCAACCTGCTGGGATTTTTAAAAAGCCTTTGTTGTAGTCAGTTTTTTTAGAGGCTAACATATTTCTCCCTCAAGGTTTTTCACTTTGTACATTACCTCAATTGATGCAAGACAGACTAGTGACAATTGTGAAGTCACAATCGAACAGGACATTGACGATAGTTGCGGACTGTATCGTCCTGATGTGTAGTTACATTGCACATAGTTTACGCTGTAGGTTGCGGTAAAGGTTTTCAGAGTTTTACGGTCTAGATATAGCTAGCAACGATCTAGCTTTCCAGCCAGAGGATCGATCCCCAGTGAGTGTAGTAGTAAAGGAAGTCTGTAATCTCAGGGGACTCTGTTTATTTAAACTATTTAATTCTTGGATCTTTCTGAAACATCTTTTTAGTTCATCTTCTCTACGCACTTAGCTTCCACCTGCAAGCTAATGTTAGCTTGCGTGTGGGTTAGCCACAGATGCTAAAACCACTTTAAACTGGGATATTCTGAAGCTCTAAGTTTTTTTGGACTTCATGGGTTGAGCTGCTGATTTGTGAATCTTTTCTCACATTAGGGATTTTGGCCATGCCATTGTCTCCAGCTCTCAAGTCTGTTTTTTGAGCTGTTTTGACGTTATGGCAAGGCACAATCTCTCCTTGTGCTTGCTGGATGAGGCTGCTGCCACTGGGAAATGCAGTTTGGTTGATGTTCTTGGTGTCTAAGGTTTAAGTGGGTCGCCTCGTCATGTTAACATCCGCGTGAATGCGGAAGATCGCACTGAAACATGACTGATGTTATTCACCCCACCTGTCAGTGGTCTTAATGTTATGGCTGACTGGTGAATATCAGACTTTCTCTTAATGGCAAATTCAGATTTTTTGAAATTTTCTTTTAGAACTCACTCTCTCATTGGCCTGGACATGGAGTCTGGATTCATATGTACGCACACACACGCATGCATGCACACACTTACACATAAGGCCCTTCGATTCTTGCGCCCCAGAGAGTCACTATTGCAGAACAAAAGCTGCCAGTGGAACAGTTAGCGGTTGCCTCATCCTGCTCCACTCTTGTTAATACAATTCCCTCTTTGCTGTCTTCGGCTCAGTGCAGTAGAGAAGCTGTCTTTCATATAGCATGTCCTCTGTGAAGCTGCTTCCCTTAGATAATATAGTGAGGTCCTTTGGGACTCTCCAGAGACTCCAGGCAGACAAGATGTGCTTGTCTGATAAAAGAAAGTGATGTGTACAAGTGTAAACATTCAATATTATTCACTCAGTGCTTGCTTGCTGCTCTACTCTTATCTGGAGCTCGCTGGCTGGGGGCTTTTCTTTCTTTTTTTTTCTTTCTCCTGTGAAGCCATCTGTAAAGTGTAATTCAATTGCGGCAGAGAGGCATTTTATATTTGATGCGTGGACATGCTCTGCACAGACAAATCTGATTCTGCGTCGTACCATGAGAGGGAAGGTGTGTCACGCATAACAGAGTAACTCTGGGCTGCTTTGCATCCTTTCCCGTGCTCCTAGTTTTCTGAGGCGACACTGACTCAATTAGTTTACCAAAAGTTGCCATACATGATTGCAGTCAGGCCTAAAGGTATGGACTCATATATGTGGTCTGTTTAGCAAACAGGAAACAGCGAATGAAATCTGTTTCCTGCGAACTTGTTACCCAAGAAGAAAAAGAAGAAGACAGTCTCTTTTAAGATACTCAAATAAAAAACTAAAAAAAAGGACCTATAGAAAGGTCGTGGCCTTTAAAAAAACAAGCTGTATTTCTCCTAAAATGCTTCCACGCAATTAAACATGGCTGTCACCTAAAGTAACCGAGTGTTTCTGCCCCTAATTCAGATGCTCCTGAGATTTTTCAGACATTTTACAAAGCTGACGGTGCTGCTGGGCAATGAAGTTAGTCTATCTTACTTCACAGCTGCTGATATATACACAGCAGTGCAGTGCTTTCAGTTGTCTACATTCATTGTAGACTCTGATCCCTTTGTCCTGGTTTGACCATAAGTCATCACTGCTCAAATGCACAAGCTGAAATCGCACAGCCGTTCCTGTTGTGACTCTGTGTTGGCTGTGATATTGTGTTGTCTTTGTACCTGACGTGTAAGTATTGATTTACCGATAGTTCCATCACGTAAGTGTCATTTTGTCATGTAACACGTCTAATAATGCTCGGATGTAAAACAAACAAACAACCAAAAAAGTGTTCCCAGCAATTTGGTGCATAGTGGTGTGGCCAAAACCAGTACAAAATCAGAACTTTCGGAAACATCTCTTACATCAGCATCCTTTTTTTGTCTTCCATCCTGTACTAACTACGGGAAGGCTAAGTCGCGGATGCTGCATGCTGGTTAAGCCCTGTGTGTTGACATCACCCCCCTTCACTCACTTAGTGCCAGCAGTTCTACGAAAACAGTGTTAAACGTCTTTTACTTAATACTTTAGACCTTACCCCCCCACCCGTGTTTTTCAGTGGTTCCACATAATATGGATAAACAGTTTCTGGGCTGAACTCCATTAAGATCATTAGCAAAAGTTTCAAGCTGCAGATGAAGCAAAACACTTGCACGCTCAGTAAATGACCTTGTTTATTAGTAGAGTTACTTATTGATCATTTGATTCAATTTTCACGTGTCAACGTGCACCCTCAGCTGTAATTAAGCTCTAAGGCTCAGAAAGAGTTTCTTTTCATCTTCATTAGTGTATTTGCATTGTGCTGCTTGCCTGCTAATAACCTTGTTGCCTAGTATGGAAAATAGACGTCTGTGCTCAGCAGAAAAATTACTATAGTGGCAGATTTTGAGGTGAAATCCTCAGATCCTCAGTTTGGTCCTCGGAAGAGACAAATCTTCATTAGGCTGCATCATTAAGAGCCAAATCAAACACGCTATGGTTACACCTTGTGAATAAAAGAGCAGCTGAAAGTAGCTTTAGAGTATTCACATTCAGTCTGTGGTCAGACCAAATCAGCTATTTGCTAATCTGTCATTATCAGACTGTAATATTCAATAAACAAAAGGGTAAAAAAGAGACGGAAGAAACACCCTTCATCCATCTAACTAGTGTTGATTTTGCATAATTTGTCCACAAGAGGGCACTCTACAGTCTCCCTGTTGGCAACACAACAATGAAACAATGGCGTCAGATGTTACAGATGTCTGTTACGCGTACCGGTGGTGAGGTTTAAAACAACACTTTGTCGATACCTAGTAGAGCCCAACAGATATAGGATTTTTAAGAACAATACCGATATTTGTTGATTTTGCAATGTGATATATCGATATATGAGCCAATAATTCTTTTCCATACACATGATACATAAACAGATTTCCTTAACATTTACTATGTACGATTATTTACTTGTTCACACTCTATCTGACTCTGTTTGAATCAGCTGGTTGTTGTATTTGTGGCGTTCCAAACATGTGTTGCCAACTGGGAAATTGCCCTCTAGTGAACAAAATATACGTACACACACACACACACACATATATATATATATATATATATGCGTATATAAACTACCCAAAATATGTTGACAGAGACATTTCAGGGATTTTGAATCAGTCTGAGCTCCAGATGGGTTAATTGTTAATCACGTTAGCCATGATGACGCCGTTAACGCCGGATTAACTTGTTATCGCCGAGTAACCCCTTACACGGATTGATCTGCTCGTTAACGCGGATTAGCCCGTTTTAATGCATTAACGCGGCTCAGTCTGTGTCAATGCTGACTAATATATATATAGAGAGATAAATTTATATAGATAAATCTATTGGACAATATAAATGCTGATACTGATAGATTGGCAAATAGCAAATATTAGCTGATAATATTTAAATATTGTCTGGCTCCAATAGCTAGTGCCAATACCAATAAATGCTTCTGTTTTCTTCAGTTTTTGTACTTATTTACTTCCAACTTTATACCAGGGAAACAATAAACCTTCAGTTTAAAAATAAATAACGCTAGTGTAACGTCTTTCAGCTCTTTCTCAAACTATCTTTCAACATTTAGCCACTTTGAAACTGATTTAACGCAGCACATTGTCCAAAGCTGAAATGGAGGCTGAACATAAACACACCACAACAGTATATACATATGTACTTGCCTGTGCGCCCAATATTTTCAAATGTACAAGAGTTATGTAGCTATGCATGTTAGTAATGTACTTTTGAATTTGGAAATGCAGCAACTATGACCAGCCAGCTTGTATGTTTGGTGATTGTTAATGAGCTGTGTTTGAAGCATTGCTTTTTAAATTGTATTTGAAATAACCAATTTCTCTTGGCATTTTAGCTTTTAATTTGCTCTTGTGCAGCAATTTGCTGAAGATAAACATCACAATCATAACTTTATGGAGGTTTTGACTCAGTTTAGACTGTGAGATCCAGATAATGCAATGACATAATTAGTGTATACACGTGGCATGTGCAGTTAGCTAACTATTCAACTGATAAGTCAATAATAAGGACGTTTCTTAAAATTTCTGTTTCGTTTACATGACGATAGCAGAGACGATGTACTGTATGGGGAGGAGTAACCAAGATCTCGGCCTTCCTCTCCCTGCTCTGTTGAATTATCTTTTCCTTTATTATGCAGCACTTATTTCAACAGCAGATACATCATATTAGTGAAACACGACGCCTTTAAGCACAGCTTCCCCCCTCTCTCAGAGCTGCGGCCCTCCATTGTCTTAAACTGCGTGGCCTGATTTGACAGCGAGAGTGAAAGCTGTCAAGCACTATCCAAAAAGCAGAAACTGTACGGTGATGTCATAAAGACACGCGCACAGACACGCAGCCATTTGGAAAGAAAAGTGAAACATCACGATACTGCCTGTAAATTTACCGTCCTGCCACTGACACATGAACCCTTTCTGTCTCCCCGACACAGTTCCTGTGCCTGAAGAACATCAGGACTTTCCTGGCAGCGTGCAGCGACGTCTTTGGCATGAAGAAAAGCGAGCTCTTTGAGGCCTTTGACCTCTTTGACGTCAGGGACTTTGGAAAGGTAAGGCACGACTGTTACAGGCCCGATAAAGAACGTGACGGAGGCTTTGGCATCGGCAGCCTGCATCCACCCTCGCTGTGTGCGCCAGCTGTCCCCAAAGACTGTTCTGAATTAGTCAAATGTGCTGTTACACCCACTTTTGCCTTTGTCTTTAAGTCACGCAACTTGGAGCTACATTTTTATTAGTCTTTCAGTGATTTCTTTCTTAAAAGGCAGACTTGGTCTTTGCGAGAGCATCTGAAGTGTAATTAGAAGACACCGGTTTTCCCATCACAGGTGCTAATAAATGCAGTCTGAGGCCACAGTTTGGCTTGCTTCACACTCCCAAATCACGAGTAAAGCTGAAGTCAGCAACATGACCCAGCACTTTAATCGCTTCCTCTCATTAAAGTAAAAAAGTCAGCGTGCAGACGTTAAACGGGGGGGTTAAATGTCTGGCCTCCGGTTCGTTACTTTGATAGGGCTCTCAGTCTTCACTCGCAGGGCTGTGGAAGCGTCTGCGGCTCTCTGGCAGCCCTCGGGAAGTCCCCGGGAGGTTAATTTAGAAATACCAGGCTTGAGCAGAAAGAGGGTGCTGCTGCATTTTGGTGCACACGATGTGTTTACAAGATGACAGGGTCATAAATCCAGAGCTTAAAATGTGTGTGTGTGAGAGCAAAAGACTGAAAAGCATCGATAGGAATGAAAAGTTACTCTGAAACACTAACTACTGGAGCACTGTGAGCTCACCGGTCAGGTGGCAACACTTGAGAGGTAAAAGTTAAAATGGGGTACTTCAGAAGAGCACGGCAACAACACTCAGTGCTCACCTTGTGTTAGAGTTCAACTCTGTGTTTCAGCTACACTTTCACAGCTCGCTTTGAATTATTGGAACATAATGAAGATCTTCTCCATCTTCTCTCTAGCTTTTGGTTTTAACCTGGTGTACTAAACTGAATTAAGTAGCTGAGAAAATTAAGCCAACCATTCATGAAGTCAGTTATAATTAAAAGATATTTGGACTGAGGCATGTTCCTTTCTTTATTTCCTGCTAGAGCGAAATACAAATACAAATCTGTATCCTTGCTTCTCAGAAACAAACAAACGTTAAGGTTGATTTATGCTTGTAATTGTACATTCTCATATTTTACTATTCAAATGTTAACTCCTGTCCTTCCAATAGGATAAACACAGATTTGTACAGGTCTTCAGTTCTGTGTTAACCAGATACGATTTGGTGGCAGGTCCATGCTAGCTGTTTTGTTTCTAGTCTTTATCCTGGGTTAGCTAGCTACAGCAATGTGAAAGAGAACAGTTTCACAGGATTGTATAAGGTCCTGTGTACCCTTACTGACTCCATAGGAATTAAGAGGTTAAGTAGCAGTCGGGGGCTTCTAATGGACTCGATTAACTGATCATCAGTGAGTGTGAGCACCTCTATAAAGCGGTCTTGGCAGTTTGTTGGTCTGAAGCATTCATACCAAATCATCACCCCTCATTGTGTGTGTTAACACAGTGTCACAATCTTTACAGGAATGGACGTCCCAGTAGAGTCAGAGCCTCATGTTCGTGACAGTACAGTTAGAAAAAGACCGAACAGGGATGGCTTGCTTTGAAAGATGACCAAGAAAAAGCCTCTTCGCTCTATAAAGAACGTGGCAGCGCAGCTTATGTTTGCAAATCAAAATCTGAACAAGCCTCATGACTTCTGTAACAACATCCTTTGTACGGATGAGACTGAAGTGGCGATATCTGGCCATGATGATGTACAAGCACCACATTTGGTAAATGAATGGCCTCAAACCTCAATGAGCCGAGGCGATGCTGTAACGAGTGGGTTGTGTTCCCTCCAGGATGATGTACAAACTCATGTGGAAAACTTCTTGCTACTAAAGGTGGTTCTACCAGCTATTGAATCATGGGATGTTGTTTTTTACAGTACTGTAGAGAGTCCTGTGACTATATTTCACATGACTATATTTGGTTCGAAGCTTTCAAACAGGAAATTAAAATGTTCTCACATACAAGGATTTACATAGAATTTGCTTTTTTGATATTGGCCACATTAACCCGCTGCTACTATTTATTTGGAAGTAGTACGTGAGGTAGAGCTTTTTTTGGTGCATGGTTACAGTTTCAATGGCTTACAGAACCTGTCAGTGAGAGACTGATAGAGTCAGACAGAAAACAATAAGTTCAGGGTGTTGCTGCTGAAGAGTCATTCTGGTGTCTGATTTTGGCCGGATTTTTCTCCACTGGTTTCAGTTGGTGGAGGGAGAACTTCGATGATTCTTGAGTGAATCCCACTTTGCCCTGAGTGACTCTACCATCTCTGAAATTAGACTGGAAGCTGGTTGGTAATCCTCGCTCGGCTGGCTCCGCAGAGGCTAATGGAGCGAGGCGGGCAGGGGATGAGCGAAGCTGCCATTTACCTGACTTTTTCAGTTTTTTTTATTTTATTTTATTTTGTTGTTGTTTTAAAAATAGCTGCCGGCCTGCTTCTGAATAAAACATCAGCTGGCCTGTTTATTTGAGAGTTTATAGACTTAGATATAGAGTCTGTGCTGGGAATATCTCTGTCTGCTTCAGCAGTCGCACTGTGTAATCTGAAAGGTATTAAAGTCCTTGACTCTGCTACTTTAGAAGCTGGGAAGGAGCATTAAAGGGAGAAATCCTTAGAAAACATGACCAGACTAGGAAAATCAAGTTTAATTTGTAAAACTGCATCTGTCTGACTGCTTTTGAAATTTGAACTCGCCTCGGCACAGCGCCGTGATATCAGCCAGTCACAGAGACAAAAGCAGCAGGTCTGTCTGCAGACCTTTCTGTTCGGTGCAAGAACATCTGGTTTGAACATCTGTGTTGTAGACACATGAGGGCTTGTGGGTTCTGCAGGGAGAACAGAAACTTGGATGCGCAGGCCGTGCACACACTGACACACACCTGGCTGACAGAGAGGAAGAGCGAGAGGGCTCCAGAGTTGATCTGTGTGCGATATTTAGGGCAATAGAGCTGCGATATATCCCCTCACTGTTATATCTGTGGAAGTGTTTGGCAGCGTGGGCGAAGAATCCACAACGTGTGTTTCACTGTAAGGGTTACAGTCATTTTACCATACTGTGTGTCCACTGAATGTATAATAATACAATGCGTAGCTATTACATGGGTGTAATCAGTGTACTGTCTACATCCTGAAGCTTATGTGCCCCAGATGACATCACTAGCCTGATTGTGTTGCACACACACTGAAACAATATTGTTTTGTCTCCAAGCTCTTTTGTGTGCTAAGATGTGCACAAAATGCATGAGCTTTTAAAAAGACCTTTTCCTTACATATCACAGGAAAAATGTGCCATCGTGTGCTTAGTGTGAAAGTTTTACATGTTAGGAAAGTTTTAATGAATGAAAACACATACTGCCATCATCATCTCTGTCAGTGACTAATTGTCTCATTTCTATTTTATTGCTAATTCCAACTTGTGTTTTTTAAATAGAATCAAAGTGCTGACGGGATCTTTCCATGCTCACACAGTCACATGGTGGGCAGTTTATCCTGGAAACAATGACTCGCTTTTTTTTTTCTCAGCTTCAGTTTTTACACTTCAAGGAAACAAGATCGTGCAACAACCGGTAGCTTAAGAAGTGCTGGCTAGTTGATTTTTGTTTCCAGTCTTTAAAGAGTATTGCGCTGACCAAGCTTTTTTGGTTCTTTGGTCATCTGGATGACTTATGGATGCTCAGGCCTCCACCCCTGTGTAGTAACCCTCCATTATGTACTGTATCCCATTTTCTACAGCTTTGCATGTGCCAGAAGATGCTACACCTGCATATTGTTAGCTGTGTGTCATGTAAATCATCTGGTAATGAGTGACTACTCTTGCATGCTGTTGTTTTCGCAGCTGCGCCCGACTCATTCATCTGCTTCCAGATCCCTGCGTTTTCATTACGCGTTCTAGTTTCATTAATCAGGCAAGGGTTTCCAGGTTTCCACAGTCCTACGGTTACGGTTTGATTTCGTCTTCATATAATATCAGCAAGAGGTTACAACGGAGCAGGAATCAACCTCTAGCACAGCGATCCCCAACCCCCGGGTCACGGACCCGTTTGGTACCAGGCGGTGAGAGTTGAGGCTCGGGTGTGAAATTTATGGTTTTCAGGGTTTTTATTAGTTTTTATTGTCATTTTTTATCGCTAACTCGGTTTCCCTTTTCCCATGTGTTATGAATAAATCATTTTTTTTGGTACGGGTTTTATTTTGTTGTATTTATCCACGACACCTTAAAGGCCGGTCGGTGAAAATATTGTCAGGCATAAACCGGTCCGTGGTCCGTGGCGCAGAAAAGGTTGAGGTCCGCTGCTCTAACAGTGGCTTTCTAGCTTTTCTTTCTTTTTTAAATATAATATGATGCAGGTTGTTTTGGGTTATTTCTTTTTTTTGTTCTTTTTGTTTTGGATGGGGTGTCTAAAAGAGGTCTGGACCCTTGAAAGCAACTGTCCTTCTTGGAGGACAGCAGGGAGATAGGGGTTATTGATTGCTGTCTTCCTCCTCAGTTGACTGTGATAAATTTAACTGTGGAAATCCACTAAAGCCTGATGCATCTCCTGACCAGCCTCCCCCCCATCATTTCTCCCTCTCTGTCTATTTCCTTTGTCCTTCAGCTGTACTGCTGATCACTGTGGTCAGATATCATATGTCTAATGGATCCTCGGGTTGTATCCCTGCACCACAGGGCTGAGCTGCAGGAACAGTGAGTCGCAACTGCTTCGGAGGCACATTTTAAAGGCTACAATTAGGTTATGATCAGAGTAATTGCTGGTCATTATTTTGTTCTCCGCCCCAGATATGGTAGAGATACCTCACGGGTTGTTGCTAACATCTTTCCAGCATGGCGTTGGAGGTTGGTGGTGTCGTAGGTGTCAGTCGATTAAACCTGCAATTAAACTCTCAGCCTCGCAGAGCAGTGAACCCACCTACAACAGACTAATTAGTCTGGCTTTGAAAGTGTAGCCTTCTCTCCCAT